TCTTCTTCCTCACTTGAATCTTCTAACCTTAGGTCTAAAACGTCAACGTACAAAAATATAGAGATGAACACAGGCCACTTTTTCTACCTCTTAACATGTACAATACCACACAATACAACACAAAGAGAATCAAAGAGAAAAAATATAATTGACTGACTGTTTGCAGGCGTGCAGTATTTTCCACCTGTTGAAAAATCCTTAATTCATCAAGGCACATACATTATGAATGTTTTCTTTTTACACACAGGCTACATGCACAACCTTATTCCATTTGCTTTTCTTTCTCTGCCTTTTCACAGCACAGTTAAAAAAGGTTTGGTCTCTAGCACTTGCTCTTTGTCTCACAAACTCTTCAAATGTCAAACTGTCAGAGCCGCTAACAGAAGATGTAATGGGTCCAGCTGCAGAGGAGTACCGAGTACCACTTGAACCACAAAACAAAGAGGCTGTTCCAATATTTGCAGCACTGCAAACTGAACAAAACATCCTAAAAAAAAATGTTCGCAATTAGGGTTATGAAAACTTTTTCTGAGGTACCATAATTTATTTCCCTGTGCAAATTTACAATTTTCTATACCACCTCTTCAACAGATTAAACTGTAATTCAGGCTACGTTCACACGGTGCTAGACGAATTTTCGACCGGCCGAAAATTTGTGCGTTTAGGCGTTTCGTTCACATGGAAGGACGCCAAACGTACGAAAATTTGGACGTTCAAGCGTTCAAAAATTTGAACACCAAAATTGAGGACGAATTTTTAGCCGGTGCAGTCAATTATTTGACCGCCGCGGTGTGACCACCTTTCACGTCCGAATTTTTGTATGGCGTAGGCGCGGCTGCATGGATGCGTGGTAACTAAGTTAAATAATATGTTTACAATTTTATACGAAGATGGAACGGGTTGGTTTATTGATTGCGGTGCTCGGTAATATTACAGCTTTGGTACATAATATCATCTTACAAATGTTTAGGACATGCCGAGCTTACCACGCACGTAGGCGACGTTGT